CCTTAGCCACCACCCATCAGCTTTCTGTCACCATACATTAGAGGTGTCTTTCTCTAGAGCTGCTATTGCATCTTAAAAAATAAAAATAAGGCAGTGCACTCAGAGGTCCCAGATCTGTCTCTTGCTTCAGCAGTGTTTGGACGGAACAGACCCAGGGACACCCCTCCTTCCAGCCTCAGACCACTCTCCAGTCTCATCCAGTCACCACCTTCAGAACCACCTCCGGGACCAGCCAACACACTGTTTTTTTCCTACTTTAACTCCTTATTGCCGAACAACCAGGAGCTCCCAAATTCGTCCCAATTATTCCACCGAGGTGGAGGCTGCGGTCAACCGCCTGACCAACCTGCATCTGCGCACCTCCTACACCCACCTCTCTCTGGGCTCCTATTTCGACCGTGATGATGTGGCTCTGGAGGGCGTGGGCCACTCCTGCCACAAGATGGCGGAGAAGAAGCGCGAGGGCGCTGAGCATCTCTTAAAGTTGCAAAACAAACGTGGCGGCTGCATTCTCTTCCAGGACGAGCAGAAACCCTCCCAAGATGAGTGGGCAAAACTCAGGACGCCATGGAGGCTGCCCTGGCCTTGGAGAGGAACCTGAACCAGGCCCTTTCGGAGTTGCGTGCCCTGGGTTCTACCCGTGCAGACCCTCATCTCTGCGACTTCCTGGAGAACCACTTCCTGGGTGAGGAGGTGAAACTCATCAAGAAGATGGGCGACCACCTGACTCACAGCCGCAGGCTGGCCGGCCCCCCAGGCTGGGCTGGGCGAGTATCTCTTGGAAAGGCGCCCGCTCAAGCACAACCAGGAGCCTTTGGAGCCCAGAGGCCTTTGAGAGGCCCCTCTGCATCCCCTGGTGTCTCTGGCTTTTACCTGAGCCTCTTCCCGAAACTACTAGCCATTCTTTAACCAGCCTGGAGCCCTCTCCCATGCATTGGACCAAATGAAACAATAAACAATAAAGTTTTTTGCAGCAATAAAAATAAAAAGTGTGGCAAAGACAGCCTTTAAATGAATAGCAATAGCTACTCCTCTGCTGTACATCTCGGTATGCCAGGTGGTCCCTGTATAATTGATCTCTTACCGTGGCCGGTGTGGCTCAGTTGATTGAGTGTTGTCCTGCGCACTGAAAGGTTGCTGGTTGGTCAGGGCGCATGCCCAGGTCGTGGGCTCGATCCCTGGTAGGGGGCGTGCAGGAGGCAGCCGATCCATGTTCCCTCTCACAGCAATGTTTCTCTCTCTCCCTCTCCCTTCCCCTCTCTCTAAAAAATTTTTTTTAAAAAAAAAGAGAAAGGAGATGTGACCTGTTTAAGACAAAGTTTGACCTTTCCATTGATAACCTTTTCTAATTCTCACGTTAACCCTGAGAATTAGGTGCCTTTTTTGCTCTTTTACAAATAAGGAAATGGAGGCTCAGAGGAATCGTCCCCTTTCCCACTCTGCCATGGCCCCTACCGTGTCCCCTCCCCCGAGACTCCACAGGCCTTGCTGTCCCAGTTCGCTATGGCAGTTCTCCTTTTTCTGATGAAGGTTTTCACCAGCACCCAGAGGCTCCTGCAGTTACAAAGCACTTCTCAACCATGGGTGGGGCAGGGGGCTGGGGAGGGGTGTGGGGAAGTGCTTAAGAAGGCGCGTTTGACACTGTGATGCAAATGTCTAACCATAAAGTGAGAAGAAAAGCAATTATTTCCCTAATGCCAAGACTGGAAATGAAGCTGAACAACGTTTTCCTCACCGCGGGGACGTGGGTTAGAAACAATGACAGCCTCATTTGCCACCTTCCCTAGGAGCAACCCCGACAAGGTTGGTTGAAGGAGGGCGGCCCCAAGTAAAGGGTCCAGGGGCCATTAGAAAGAGCCCAGCGAACATCAAATCCAGAACAAAGCCACCAAGCCCAGCTCTTCTGGCCATCTGTGCCTGAGAGCTGGGGCCGTGCCTGGTCTGACGGGGCAGCTGGGATGACCGGGACCTGGCTGGCCTTGCCCACTCCACTCAGTGAATGAAGTCTCACCAGGTGAGTCAGCTGGCTCAGCCACCAGGACCAAATCAAGTGCAGCCTGGAAAGAGAAAAACCAGCCCAACCCAGCACCCTGGGGGCTGCAGGGGGCTATGTGCTTTGAGAAGCTTGGGAACTGGCCCTCACCTTCAACTTGGCAGCTCTCACCTGGACAGCCTTAGCCGCAGCGCCCCCTGCTGGCTAGCCATGCCTTGTCTCTGCCCTTCTTGACTTGAACCACATGGACCAGGGGCGCCAACAAGCCCGCCCAGACTCCGCCCCGCAGCCCACAGGACTGCAAACCCTTGCTGGTGCCTCAGCCTCCGTTTCCTCACAGGTAGCACGGATTGAGCCTCTAAACCAGCGGTTCTCAACCTGTGGGTCGCGACCCCTTTGGCGGTCGAACGACCCTTTCACAGGGGTCGCCTAAGACCATCCCGCCCGTCAGATATTTACATGACGATTCATAACAGTAGCAACATTACAGTTATGAAGTAGCAACGAAAATAATTTTATGGTTGGGTCACAACATGAGGAACTGTATTTAAAGGGCCGGAAGGTTGAGAACCACTGCAACTCTGAGCACTGCTGGCACTCCAGACAGAGCTTCCGGGGACAGCCATCACTCTTCGTGAACCACACTCCGGGCACCTCATGTCCACTCTCCCATATGACCACAGCACAAGGCTGAACGCAGGCACGAGGAGGCCACGGGCCCAGCAGGTCCATGACCTGCCCAGGGGGTGGATCTGTGCCGCACAGGGTCTGACCCCAGAGCCCAAGGGAGCCCACAAGGCCTCCCCCAGAGGCCGCATGGCCTGGATTTACAAGCCCATCCGCCTGAGTTCAAATAGCAGGTCCACCACTTACCGTGGAGTGCATCCTGGGGCCACTCTCCCACTTTTCTAGGGCTCCCATCTGTTCAATGGGGGGGACGGGACAAGGTGTCATGGAGGGTACTTGTGGAGGGTTAAGCCTGTAAACACCCCTAAAGTGCTTGTAACAGAATAGGAGGCTGCCTCCTCTGCCATCTTCCTGAGCTCCCAGAGCAGGCCTGGGGGGGCGGGGCCCTCTTTTCCCACCACCGCGGGGGAGGGGCCGCAGGTGGGGGTGGAGCCAGAGGCTCGCGTCCCCCACCTCCCCCAGCCGCATAGGGGCTCGTCCCCCGTGCAGACCTTGACATCCTCCCCAGGCCCCGCATTTATCCAAGATCTTTAAAAACGAAAGCTGCAGGGGAGGGTAATTAACTTTAATAGGAGCCGCCTTCGATTTAAAGCCACAGGGGGGGAAGTAATTAGATTTAACAGAAGCCGAGGCTTTCTGAACCGAGACACACGGCGTGGGGGTCCCCGCTCCAGAACGCCTTGGAGATGATGTCTTCTTTTGTAAAGACTTTGCTGGTGACATTTTCGGCGTGCTCCGTCATTAACGCCAGTCACCGACCGGGGTGTGAACGTGGCCTTGGCTCATTGAAATTCATTAGGCCTGGCACCGGGTTCCTTTCCGGAGTCCCCGCCGTTTGCCCTCCCCTCGCCTTTGCGCCGAGCGAGTGTAGCTCTTCCCCCAAACCAGCCTCCAGCGCCCCACACCCAGGAGTTGGGGGTGGAGAAGGGCTGGAGGAAAAATGAGAAAGAATCCGGGTTGAGCCACAGCCCCGGGGAGGACCCCTCTCTTTCCGCCAGGGCATGCCATCCCCTGGAGGTTGTCTGCATTCTCAGAGCATCCTTAGAGAAGGCCTCTGGTTTGCATGAGCCACTTCACTGGGTGGCCCCGATTTCCCCACCTGGTGCCGGCCCCCACCCCGGCAGCGTGCGCGTGGCTCCGCTGCCCCTCCGCACCCGGTAAGGGGCTCCCCGACCTCTCCATCCGCGCTGCGCTCAGGGACCCAAGGACGGCACCAACGACAGAAACAGAGGGGCCCCCTTTCTCCCAGCGCCCGGGCCTGAGCTGTAAGTCAGTTTCTAAATCTGAGCTTGCAAGCCCACCGAGCCCCAGAGGCCCCAGCACAACCACCGCGAGCGCGGCTGTCAGAGCCGAAACCCGGGCTGATGCGCCATCTAGCGGCGCCCGCGCGACGCCCTATTGTTCTCCGGGGGCGGGGTTCGAGCCCGGCCCCGCCCCCCCGTCGGGGTACAATTTATGGTCATCAAGTAAAGGGGCCCGGGGTGGAGGAGGGGCAAGGATCTCGAGAACACAGGCTGGGAGAATGTAGAGGGTCCGCGCTGCAGGAGAAATGCCATCGCGCGGCTTTCCATCGGGGTGGGAGGGTCGGCACCGTCGCGGGAGGGAGCGAATGGGGCTTTTAAGGGGAGAGGGCCCTAAAGCCGAGGCAACGTTTCTCCGGACAGGGGGTGAGGATGCAAAGCTCAGTGTCCCCCGCCCCCCCCCCCCAATCTCTAGTCCCGGCGTTCCAGCCCCAGCCCCAGATAGCGCCCCGACGAGCGCATTCTCTGGGGAGCCGCAGCCAGAGGCGGGGCCCCGTCAAACTCGCCCAGTCAAGAGCGACCTGGCTGCCCACCCCGCCACCGAGCCACGGGGAGGAGCTCCTCTGAGCACTGAATTGGGGCCTCTGCTCCCAGATCCGGCGACCTGGGCGGGATCACTGGGTAGGGCCCGGGGAGGGGGCTGGAACTGGAGGCGTGGTGTGAGTGGGTGTGTTGGGGGGCGGGGGCCTGATGCAATCCTGATAAGAAATGCTCGGGTGTCAGGGGCACCCACCCGCCGAGAGGGTAAGACGCGCTATATAAGGCCGCTACCCTGGAGCCGCTGCGCCCTCGGAACAGCGCACGCAGAGTGCACGGCTGGCTGAAGTGCCCCGCGGACACCCCACCTCCTCACGCACAGCCCCGCAGGGCGTCCCAGCTGCCGCCCAGA